AAAATACTTCAAGTGTCTCTTCCACATTGAGAAAAGTTTCCAGAATGAAGGGGTGTGGGTGTGTGTATTAGGGGGTTTTGGAGAGGACAGGAAGCCCTGAGATTTCTATTTCACAGTCAGTCTGGCTGTTGGGTGGAGAATAGATGGGAGGGAAGTGAATTTGAAGGCAGGGAGACCAGCTGAGGACTGTGGTGGCAGAGATAGGATGAGTCTAGACTGGGAGGAGAGACATTTAAGAGACTCACGGAAGTAGAATTTGATAGGAGTTCAAAGCCAGTGGCTTTGGGATTGAAGGAAAAGCAGGCGTTAGACTGACTATGCTGATCTTTGGTTGCCTGGGAGATGGAGCTATCAGGCAGGGTGCCTCAGCAGGCGGCTAAGGTCAACTCGAAAGGGCAGAATAAGAGAAGCATGTTTCAGGGTTAGGGTTTAACCGCAGCAGTGGTGCTGTGAAGTTCATTGCCCCTTAAATAATAGGAAACCCACACTTTAAATTAAAGCATTTTTAGTTTAGCCCTTCTCAGTGGACCCACACATATTTCTCTACTAGTTATTACTGAGAATGACTAAGTATTATAATTGAGCTGAAAATAGTCTTCCACCCATACTTGCTGAGTTGGTTACTAAGTATTGCTTGGGTTTTAAAGCAATGAAACAAAGTTGTGCTCTTTCCAAATGTTAATTTTGAGGACTGCAGATGGTAACCATCTGTTCCGGACTAGCATTTTACAATATTTGATTAGCACTTTATATAGTTTGGGGAAGCCTGCCAGGAGAGCTGCTGGGACTATGTGCTGTGTCTTGTATGGCTGCCCTTCAGGGTCTTGGCAATCACCCCACACATGGGGTTCACCACACATGGGGTTCCCCTCTGTTGGCTTGGCTAAAGCAGGGCCAGTCAGACTGGTGAATAGGAACTTGAGGAGCCCTGTCCTCTTTAGAGTTCTTTAACAGCTGGAACCACTCAAGTGTGTTGTGGAATTTTTTTTTTTTTTTTTTTTTAAGATATGTAGCCCAGACTGACCTGGAGCTTTGCATCAGCTGAGGATGATCTTGAACTTATGATCCTCCTGCCTCCAACCGAGTGCTGGGATCACAGGCATGCACTGCCAGGGCCTCTGTTTGCAGTGCTGGAGATGGAACCCAGAGCTTTCTGCATGCTAGGCAGACACTCTGCTACTTGAGCCACATCCCAGACCCCTGGAAGTAGAATTTGAGAGTCAGAATCTGCCAGTTAGAACTCTGAGTTGAAAGTGACAAGCACCAACCCATGCTGTTTGGGCAAAAGAGGATTGAATGCTCAGATTACCTAGAGTTCTAAGATCCGGGCTTCCTCTAGTGAAGGGTTGTAGGTTGCAAGTGAGTTCTTTGGACGTGGTTTCTGGTAAGGTCCCAGCTCTTCCTTCTGCTTGGTTTCACGGAGAAGGAAGATTGCATCCCTGAAAGACTTGTCAAGTCTTGTGAGAGAGGAAACCTTTTCCAGTCTCTCCTATAGAGGTGGTTAGATTCACTTTGATTGGACCAGTTGTCTATCTGTGAACCAGTCCCTGAACTCATGGATCTGGGGCTCTGATATCAGGCAGGTGGGACTTGTGTGCACCCGGAGTTGCACATAGTGGGCATTACTAGGAGGGAGAATAGATAATGCAGGCAGGGAGGGAGGCAGACAGGCAGAGCAAGAGCCTGGAGAACAAGGAAGGATTGGCCAAGTTAGCTGTAGTGACAGGAGTGTATTGTTGCCAGGAAGATAATATGCTGGAAATAGAGCAAAGGAGCCTAGGAACCCAGCCTTTTAAATTCCCCTTGTTAGCTGGGCGTGGTGGCACACACCTTTAATCCCAGCACTTGGGAGGTAGAGGTAGGTGGATCTCTGTGAGTTCGAGGCCAGCCTGGTCTAAATAGCGAGTTCCAGGCCAGCTGGGGCTAAAGGGAGACCCTGTCTCAAAAGAACAAAAAAAAAATTGTATTAATTCAACTGTGAACCTAAAAATTTACAGCCACTGTTGAAAGAGATGTATCCTTGCTCTGGAGTGTGTTACTGAATATGTTAAAGCTGTAATGAAATGTTTTTTTTTTAAAAAAAATTCCTCTTGTTAGTGCAGGGGGTCTGAGAGAGCTAACTCTGGTTCTCTTGGTGAGATCTCCTCCTCCCCTCTCCTGCTCCCTCACCCCTTCTCCTTTTCCTCCCCTCCCCCTCTTACTTTAAAACGAACACCAGGCACTTTAAATCTCTGTCTTTGAGCTCCTTCATCCGGCACACAGGGAACCTTTTCCTTATAGTCTGGAATCTATACTAGAGAGAGAATAGGTCAAACAGTCCTGGGCCACAGAGTGAATTTTGCTGTGGGCTAGGCTGCACAGAGGCTTGGGCCCGGGCTCAGCCTGTGGAGAGCCTCCACATGAAAGCAGAGTGATTCCCTCTGTCCCCAGAGAGGGACAGTCTAGAATTCTTCCCTGAGAAAGACATGAAGCTGGATCTAGAAGGATTCTCTCACTGAAGGGCTGGGAAGGAGCCCCATGCTCAGGGAACTGCTGTGTAGAGCTATGGAGAGGTGATAAAGAGGTGATGTCATTGATGGTTTGAGGATTCTGAGAGAGATTCCTGTGAATGAATTGGATGTACCAAGAACAGTGGGTCAGAGCTCACTTGGTGTCAGGTGTGGAGGATAATGGAGTGACAGTGGGATGCTAGGCAAGGTGCTGTGACAAAGTTCAGGCAGGAGCCTGTGGCACAGAGTTGGCAATGATAGGGCCGGGAGGCACTTAGTGGAAGGGTAACAAGTCCTTATGTTCTAGAATCTACCATTTAGAAACACCGTACTCTTTTTCTTCAAAAATGGAAAAAAGATGGGCCCACCAGATGGGGGTGAAGGAGCCTGCCTAGAGACCTGACGACCAGAGTTCAAAACCCAGGCCCTACATGGTAGGAAAGAACTGACTCCTGCAAGTTGTCGTCTGGCCTCCATATATATGCTACATTGCACACACTAGATAAATGAATAAACAAAATGTAATAAAAATAGATAAAGAAAAAGTTCAATTAGAGTTGCGGGTTCTTTTGGGAGAGCACATATAATATAGATATAGGTTCTCTAGCACTTGGGAGGCAGAGACAGGTGAATCTTTGTGATTTTGAGGCCAGCCTTGCCTAATAGTCCCGGACTAGCTGGGGATACATAGTGAGACCTTGTCTCAAAATCATCATCGTCATCATAAATAAATAAATAAATAAATAAATAAATAAATAAATAGGCTCTGGGACTGGAGAGATGGCTTAGCAGTTAAGAACACTGGTTGTTTCTTGCAGAAGTCCCGGGTTCGATTCCTAGCACCCACATGGCAGCCAACAACTGTCCCTAACTCCAGTTCTAGGGGATTGGACAGCCTCTTCTATCCTCCTCGGGCATTGTATGACATGGGTGCACTTACCTACATGCAGGCAATACATGCATACACATAAAATAAAATTAAAAAAAAGGCTCTACTGACCAGACAGGGAAGAGCATGCCTATAATCCAAGCACTCTGAAGAGAGTCAGGAGAATCAAGAATTCGAGACAAATCTTAGATACTTAGTTTGTGGCCTCCCTGGGTTATATAAGGCCCTGTTTTAAAAACTAAACCCAACCAAAACAAAACAAATAAAGGGGCTCTGCAGCATTTTTGAGAAGATAAATATGCTTAATCCAATTTAAATATCACACAATGTAAACTTGTTTGGGAATATCACACAGTACTCCATAAAAGTGTATAATTCTGATGATTTATGTATTAGTTCAAAAACAAACTCAAATTTTATAAAGTATAGATTCTGCAAACACAAAGAAAGCATGGTGTATTGTTCCATTTATAAAAAACTTTTGAGTAGTGCAAAGGAGGCTGGAGCAGGGGAAAGCTTTTGGGGGGCGCTGTTGGTGGTTGAGAAGGGGGAGGGAGTACAAAGGGCTGTAAGGCTGGGGGGATGGATGTTTACTCTCCTTATCGACATGGTTTCTGAGGTATGTACATGTGAAAATTTACCAGGTGGTACATTTTATTTATTTTTTGATCTTTTTGAGATGGGTCTCCCTGTAGCCCCAGCTGTCCTGGAACTCACTATGTAGACCAAGGCTGGCCTTGAACTCACAGAGATTCACATGCCTCTGCCTCCCAAGTGCTGGGATTAAAGGCGTGTGCCACCACGCTGGCCTCAGATGGCACATTTTAGATATGTACATTGACTGTATGTCAACAGCACCTTTTTATTTTTTTAAAGTGGCCTCTGGAACCAGATTGTTAAGATTCAAATTTCAGCTGTGTGAGCTTAGGCAAGTTACCAGACCTCTCTGTGCTTAGTTTTCTTGTTCACATCAATTATATGTCAAATGAATACCATGCTTTAGTGTTCATTATTAGTAGTAACATAGTAAAATGAAGTCGTGTGCCCAGTTCTGGCTTCACCATGGTGACTCCATGGGCAACTGCTTCTTCATGTGGAGCCCCTATGTGTCTTTACATCTGCTTAGCAGATCTTTAACATGTACATGCAGTCTAGGAGTCTACCGGGGCCCAAGACGCTGTATTTCTGACAAGCTCCTGTCTTGCCTATATTTCTGGTCTGGGATCACATTGAGTAGCAAGGCTTGGACCTCAGGACCCTATGTCCCCACTAGAACATGCCTGGTTTCTTTAGCCCTGATTACTCTGTGATTGCCACAGGGGATGGCTTGCTTATCCCGTTCTTCACTCTCTACCTGAAGTAGAGCTCTAGAAAGATGACACCAGGGCAGAGGGTGTGCAGCTTCCTCTATACTTGCACTGGATCCTTGTGGGTGGGCCTGCTCTGGGCTGAGGCTTCCATGGGCTGAGCACCACCCCCCAGCCTAGGGTGTGGCCTCCTAGGTTTGAGCCACAGGGGGACCTGGCCTCTGTGTGGTTGCTTCACAAAGGCCTGGGACTGTGAGTCAGGGTCAGTATAGAACTGTTCTGATGTCTGAGAAAGTGATGCTTTCTGTTTTCCAGGACAGGCTCACAGATGGCCCCGCTGCCGGGGGCAGAGCTGGTCCAGAGGCCGCTGCAACTCTACCGCTATTTGCTGCGTTGTTGCCGGCAGCTACCGACCAAGAGCATCCAGGAGCACTACAAGCATGCTGTCAGGCAGGTAGGAGCAGGGTGAGCCAGCTCTGGGTGCCTGCTGGGGCCAGAGGATGGGGTACAAGGTCAGGTGGGAGTGGGGCTGGAAGTTTGGCAAGAGGCACTGGAAAGGTGGGCAGCTGGCCTCTGTTTCTGGCTTCTGTCTGTGAAGCAGAGGCTGTATCAGCTGGCATGACAGTGCTGTGCTGGGGCCTGAATGAGGAGCTCCATAGATATTAAAATAGAATGGAAGGTGGGGGAGATGGCTCAGTGGTTAAGTGTTTACCATGCAAACATGAGGACCGAGTTCAACCTCCAGCATCAATGTAAAAAGCCAGGGTAGCTTTGAATTAATAGGAATAAGGAGATGTGACAACAGAATGGAAGTCATGAGGCCAGATCCCAGACTGGAGAAAAAAGGTAGCATATGACATTACCCAACAGTGTGTGAAACTACAGTGCAGGCTGTAGATGGGGTGATGGTTGGAGCAATGCTAATTTTTCTGAATTAGATACCATGGTTATATCAGAGGGTCCCCTTGGTAGGAGGCACACAGTGAAGCTTTTAGGGGATAAGAGCATGATGCCTGCAACTTGCATGGTAAACTTACTCTAAATGGTTCTAGAAAACCTTATGCATACACATAAAGAGAAATTAAAGAACCAGTGGGGCAAAATGTTAACATCTGGCGAGTCTGGTTGGGGGTTCTTTGTGCTTTCCTTACCATCGGTCTAAAGAAGTCGTTTTCAAGTAAGAGTTGACACTGGAAATTCAAGCTAGGCATGGTGGTGTGCACCTTTGATCTCAGCACTTAGGAGGCAGAAGCAGGTGGATCTCTGTGAGTTCAAGGCCAGTCTAGTCTACATGTTGAGTTCCTGGCCAGTTGGGCTACAGGGAGACCCTGTCTCAACACAACAGCAACAGCAACTAAAATAAAATTCATACAAGTAGAAAAAGTGAAAACAAAATAAAACAAAAAGAGGTAGAAGTAGAAGGCTGTGGAAATACAGAGAAGGGACTAGTTAGCTTTGGGGGAGTCAGGGCTTTCTGGAGGTGACACAGGGGCCTGTAGAGATTTGGAGGATATGGGGTTAGAAGCATAGGAGAGGGAGGGGCCACATCTTTTGAGGTTCACTGCATCTCTCAGAAGCTGAATCCCAGAGTGCTGGTCAGAAGCCTGACTGGATTTCCTAGTCTCCCTGCCCCCATGCCTTCCTTCACTTTCCTGCTGTTTCCCAACACCAGCATCTAGTGGTGGGAAGGCCCATCCCTCCTGTGGCAGAGCTCTTCAGAGAGCATACTCTGATGGGAACAGATTCCAGCGAGGGGTAAATCAAATCCAGAGAATGAAGTTTCCCTTTGGCCCTGATCACATTCCAGATAGCCTGTGGGCCCAGAGGCCACTCTTTTCATCTGCCCTGCTTGTTGCATCACCAGTTTTACAGTAAAAAAAGATTAGGATTCCCAGCATTTGGGAGGCAGAGGCAGGCAGATCTTTGTGAGATCAGGGCCACCCCTGTCTACTTCACAGGTTCCTCAAGTTCCAGGTCAAAAACCAAACACCAAACAACAACGAAACACACACACACACACACAGATTAGGACTCAGAGGCGCAGCAGTGGGTTGCCTCTCTAAGCCTCATGTTTTCATCTCCAAGTGGGTGGCCAGGGTTAAGAAAGTACTGGAGACCACGTACCCTACAGCCTATTCTGGGACTGTTCTGGAGTTGCCAGCCTTGTGAATTTTGCTTGGTCATGTTTCTTTATGCTGAATTTTCCAGAGTTTCCAGGTTCACTCAGATGAAGACAACCCTGAGAGAATCCAGCAGATTATTAAAAGAGCTATTGAAGATGCTGATTGGATCATGAATAAAGTAAGCGCTTGGCTCCAGCCACCACCTGGGCTGGGGTGGGATGCTGTAATCTCTGCAGCCACTAGGAGGCTCCCGCACACCACAGTTGAGAACTGAGACCTGAGGCAGCTCCCGCCCGCTGCTCTCCTCCTCCCAAGCAGGAAGATGATCATTTCAGTTGCATTCACTTTCTGCAGGGTGACAGGGTCACCCTTAATCCTGAAAGGCACATCTCTGCCTAGCAGTGCTGAGAGGACTGAGATGGGCATAGGAGTTTATTTGGAAGCTCAGTGCTGTTGCTGGCCACAGCATTACTAAGGCTGGCTTGGAGGGAAGCTGTCTTGGGGGTGGCTTCCTAAGGGGGTGTTCATGCTGAGGCAGAGTGAGGAAGGCAGTCAGGAATATAGTTGGCATTAAAATCACCCAGAGAACTGGAATGTGCTCCTAACTTCCTGTCTTGACTCAGAAGCTCCAGATATGGGGCTCAAAATCCATTTTCTAAGACTCATATTTTGACTGGGTATGTAGCTCAGTGGTAGAGTGCTTGCCTAGTACCTATCCCCAGCACAGCAAAAATAAATAGAAAAAAAAAAAAAAAACCCACCATCAGCAAATGACTGAGGGTCCCTGGCTTTTGAGGTTCTTCTTCCGCCTGAAAATCATCTCCTGCAAACAAGACTGCTTGAAGAGAAAGCACTGGTAAGCACCATGTTTGATTTGGCACCAACTGCCTCCCTGCCATCCCCCTCCAGGCCCTTGGCCTTTTCCACTAAAGAAGAGTCTGAGCATGAAGTAAAGAGGTGAATGCTAATGTCACCAACTCCCAAAAGCCCCTGCAAGGAGGCCTGTGTGACATGAGTAGGTTCCTCCCCGCCCCCGCTCTGGCTTCCCTCACCCACTTCTAACCTCTTTGTCTTGCAGTATAAAAAACAAAGCTAAGAGTCCGGAGCCCACCGTGAGGCTGTCCTAGAGACACTTGAAGCCGGGAAGCCTTTCTTCTGGAATATTCTTTGGCCTTATTGACTAAAATGAAGAAATCAAAGGAGCCACTGGATTTGATCTGGTGGCTCTTCTCAGCACAGCCATGTTGCCAGCATCTTTTATGTTTGCCCTTCCAGCCTGGAATGATGTGAAAGTTGGAGAGAATTTGGTGTTTTTTTGTTTTTTCTCTGTGTTTCTCATTTTTGTTTTTCTGTTCTTTTACTTTGGTCTGAAGGCGATCCATTTATTGTGGAGCTCCTTTTACCATTCTCTGAGCCCCAGAGCAGATGTGCCCTCAGGTGATGGCCTGTACAGAGGAAAGAGAGTGGGCTTCGGAAGTCGGCAGCTGTGGATCTGAATCCCAGCGCACACGTGGCTTCCCAGCTACCGCCTAAGAACTGTTCCGTCCTGCACGAGGATTGTGTGAAATGAGGCCAAAGTGCCCAATGCAGGCCCTGGTGCATAGGATCCCTGTGAGGAAGCTGCTGCTCTGCCCCTCCCCAGCTGCAGCGTTGCCCTCCCACACATTGTGTCCTCTTGGTAACTTATCTGTGACCTTGTCCTGTCCCAGCGAAGAGCTCCACCAGCCGTTCTGTCTGTGCCATGCTATGGCCATCAATCTGCCTAGTCGCTGTTCCTCCTGTCCCCATGGCTCCATGCATAGAGAAGTCCTGGTCCTCAAGGTGATGAATATATAATATGTGAGACTAGTAAGAAGGTCGAAGTAGCCAGACACCAGCTGCAGTCCCTCATTGGCCTCCCCTGCTTCGAACCATCAGGAAGAGTAGAAGTGAGGAAGAGGGGGAGAGCAGGGCCAGGGAGAAGTGACCCAGATGAGTTAAGTCATCTTAACATTTGGAACATGTGGAAAAGCCACACTGGGAGGTGAACATTTCCTTGGGGCACTTTGCCAACAGGATGAGCTAGTGCCTGTGTCCTTGCAGTTATGCGAGTTAACAGGATGTCTGTCTGTGTAAAGCTGATTAATAAGTGATGAGGTAAATGTATCAATTTGTAAAAGCTCATCTTTCATTTTCTCTTTCCTTTCTTTATTTTTTTGAGACATTTTCTCACTATGCATTCCAGAATGGCCTTGAGCTATCAGCAGTCTGCCTCCCATGAGCGGAGATTATAGGAATGTGTCATCACACCCAGCTTATTTTTTTAAAAAATATATTTTACATTTATTTATGTGTATGTATACATGCCACAGTGCACATGCGGGTGTCGGGACAACTTGCCGTGCTCAGTTTCCTCCTTCTATCATGTGGGTCCCAGGGATTGGACTCAGGTCATCAGGCTTGGCAGCACCCACCTTGATCTGCTGAGCCATCTTGATGTCCCTTATTACTTCTTGATTGATATTCCCTAAACATTAAGAGTTCCCCTGCTGTGTGCTGTCATATAAGGCTAAGGACTTATGTGATTCAGATACCCACTTCCAAGGAAGAATCATTCTACAGAGTAGGGCAGGTGCTGGTCCCACTGCCAGACAGCAGTGACTGAGGGCAGGTTTGCCCCACCAGGCGAGGGCAAGCCAAGGGATGCAAAGCCAAGTCACCTCCCATCTCTGCTGCTCTTCTCTGGCCCTTCTGAACACAAGGACCAATCATTGGTTGGTGGGGATGACTCATGGTCATAGGAGCAGGGTTGTTATATTCTAGGCCCTTCAGCAAGTGAAGAAAACCAGGGCTCAGGGGAGACTTGGTGTCTCTGGCTCCTGACTGGCTCTTGATGGTTTCATGGCCTTCACTTTGCTAGTAGGGCCTTAATCCTGACTTATGCTGACTTGCCCAGGTGTTAACTGGTCAGTGCCCAGCTTTAGTATGAGGTTGGCCTGTGAGAACCAGCAAGAGGTCCATTGATTACCAGTATTTTGGCTGTTCTTCAGCCCTGGGATACCAACCAGAGGGTGGCTTGGTCACATGAAGCCTAACCCCAGGAAATGTAGACAGAGGCCCCAAGGAGGGGACCTCTCCTGTCAGCAGCAGGCATCTGAGGATCTGCCCTCAGGCTCCAGCTACCTGCCCTGTGTCGATCATATGGACCATGTGCATCAGTAGGTTTGAAATCACCCAGGGCCACAGCTCTGCAGTGTGCACAGCTGAAAGTTTATAGTCACCTCTAAGCAAATAGTTGAAAGCTTGCTGACTTGAAGTCAGGCAGTGTGACCTGCTAGGATGGGCCCTGGAACCAGATGTTCTTGAATTTAAACTTCAGCTTCTCAATTAGTACTAACAGGTGATTGGGGGCAAGTTCGTAAAGCCACCCACCTCACTTTTCTCAGTATGACAAGGTACACATGGCATAGGGTTCTGAGATTAGGGCAGTGCACCCAGATGGACAGCCACCTTTTGTCCTTGTCTTTGCTTTATCTGGTCAGGACCCTTCATTTTAAATGAGTTCCTCCTCCCCCTGGCATTTACTATACCAGCACAGTGCCAGAAGAACAAGGCTGATCTGTCTCCACCTTGACTCATACTTACCTGTGATTATATTGCCTTTCTAGACTGCAATTAAGTTAGAAAGTTTCTGGACTTATCTGTGCACTGAAAGGCAGTGCCATTAAAGGGATCAGGCAACTTTAAGAGATGCTGCCATGCTTATCTAGAGGCCGATTCTTATTTTCATTTGTTTTGAGACAGGGTCTCCCTGTGGCCACAGCTGGCCTAGAATTGCTACGTAGACCAGGCTGAATTGATCTCCTGGAGATCAACCTGCCTCTGCCTCCCTTGTGGTGGGATTAAAGGCTGTTCTACCATACCCAGCTTTTTTTTTTTTTTTTTTTTTAAAGACAAGACAGGGCCTTATATAGGCCAGGCTGGCCTGGAAGTAGTGATATAGCCAAGGTTAGCCTGGAACTTCTGATCTTCCTACTTCTAGTTTCTAAGTGCTAGGAGTATAGGTGTGTGCCGCTATGCCGTTTTATGCCATTTTGGGGCTCAAACCCAGTTCCTGTGTATCCTGTGCAAACGAGCTGAGCTACACTCCCAGTTCCCTAGAGTCTGACTCTTGAGACCTGGCACCAGCATGTGCCCCACAAATTTCACTTCTACCCTCTTGACACCACCTCTTAACTGAGCCCTTTCTCTCTGCACAGCCCTTTCTTGGGGCAGGAAAGTCCTTAGTCAAAGGGAAAGACAAATGGAGGTGCTTAGAAAGTTGAGGAAATGTGGCTTGTAGGGATGTTATAACGTAAATCTAGTTTCTCAAGATTCCTTCAGGGTATTTATTTATTTTGGGGATTTAGTACTCCCTGTCTCTGGATAAAAACTGGGACACAGCTTAACATTTTTTAGGTCAATCTTAGGTTAAATCCAAATCTATGATTACTCCTAAGGTCACAAAGCAGTCTCAATTCATGAGATGAAATGTCCTGTTGCAGGTAAAAACATAATTTCAAAATTGAGTTGAAAATCAAGCCTCCTCTTCTTCCAAATGGAATCTGCCACTGATCAAAACCTGTTGTCAGAGAAGCAGATGCAGGTTGCCTCTGCCAGCTTGGAGATGGGAATGAGGGTAGAAGGGCATTCTGATCAGAGGGGCAGTTTAAGCAAGGGTACAAAATAGCAACTTTGTTCAGGTGCCCCGTGCTGTTCAGCGTAACTGAGACAGTAAGGTGAGTGGAGATTTATTTTATTTTTATGTCTCTCTGTGTTGTTGCTCATGTGTGTGCAGGTGCCTCCAGAGGCCAGAAGGGGGCATCAGATCCCTTGGAGCTGGAGTTACAGATGGTTGTGAACCACCTGACATGGGTGCTGGGAACCATGCTTCAGTCCTCTGCAAGAGCAGCAAGTGCCCTTAACAGCTGAGCCATCTCTCCAGCCCCAAGATATTTTAATATAGGCTTAAGCATGAGGATTAAGAGAGAGACATACTCAGAAATAAATATCTAAGTGTGTGCATAGGCTCCTTGAGGGAGAGTTGCAACTAGTTATCTTAGAATTAGTCAGATAGACCATTTGATAGCTCTCAAGTTACATCTCAAAAGATTGCTAAGAACCCTTTTTCTCTCTTTTGATAAGTGAGGTGGCTCCAGAGACACTGAATGGGATTATCATCTGATAAGGCAAAAACAGAAGCCACAAGGGGCACACAAGGGATTTAGCATATGTCCTTTCCCTGTAAGTGGGGTTTCTGGTGAGATTCCTAAAGTTGTAGGTTTATGACCGGGAAGGGGGAAAGGCTGTTGTTAATAGTGGTGGAATTCATGCTTTGTTGTGGAGGGGCTTAAACCAGATTTCTGGGTGAAAGGCTCCTTTAGTTTTCTCAGAACCCTGTCCTGGTCGTCGCAGACTCCTCTGGGTCAGTTGTGTGCACACTGGAACAAAAGAATGAGACTATAAGGCCAACTGCTGGTCTTTTGTTGAGTTTTGTTTTTTAAAATATTTTCTAGTAATGAGGGAGGTTGAGGGGTTGTTGCATGAGATTTTCCTGGGACGATGTGAACAAATACCTATTCACTTCAAATAGGGAACCCGTGAAAGACCAGAGTAATGATTAAAGCCCAGCTTGATAAACCAATGAGTTTTTTGGTTTCTTATAGGAGAATGGAGACCTCAAAGGCAGTTGTATCATCAAAAAGCCCATCCCAGCATGGGAGTGGCTGGAGCTGTTTTGAGATTGGCAGGTAGCTCTGGGAGAAAGTTCTTGGTCTGCAGGTCAGCAATTATTTACTGTTTTTTGGGGGAGGGGTCCTGTGGATCTTGTCAGTTTTAGGCACTTCTAGAAACTTGTGAGTTACTTGCCTCCTGAGTCTGGTGAGCTCTTCCTGCTCCTTCCTGAAGGGAATGTTTTAATTGAGAACATTTTGAGTCTTAAGAAGCTTCTCTCCAGCATGAATGCACTCAGTAGGAGTAGTGATAGTTCTTAGTGAAGTCTTATCTCCTGTGCTTGGGGGCAGGTGCAGAGGACCACTGATGCCCCCCATCCCTTCCCCCCACACACTGTGTAATCCACAGATCACCTGAGGCAGGTTGCTCTGGACACTGAGATTTCTCCCAAAGCTAAGGTTACCAAAAACTGAAAGCCTGATTCCCTCTTGCCTTCTGAAAGAAAATCTCTCACTGTCCATCTTGTCTCCCTGGGACTGAAGATCCAGCGAGCACTGGGGACAAACCAAACAAGCACCTTTATAGAGTGGCAGGGACAGCAATGAGGGTGGAGCCCTATGAGCTTGGGGCCTGGTACTGGTGTCTGAGTGAGAACTGGCTGGAGGAGGAAAAGTCCTTTCAGGATTATCCACACATAAGTTTCCCGCTCCACTTGCTGAACACTTTTTTTTTCTTTTGAGACAATGAGTGACATACTGATTATTCAGATTTGGTTGTTTGCCAGACATCTTAAAAAACAAGGTAAGCCTGTCACTTCAAGGAAACAGTGAGAGCCTGTTGCTAGTGACAGATGTCACTAGCCAGTGGATTTCTTTTTTCCCCCTCTATGTGTATTAGTGTCTTACCTACATGTACATAAGTGCATCATGTGCATGCAGTGTCCATACTACCAGAAGAGGGCATTGAATCTCCTGTAACTGGAGTTAAGGATGGATGTTAAGTGGCCATGTGGGTGCTGGGAACCGAACTTGGGTCCTCTGCAAGAGCAGCCAGTGCTCTTAATCACTGAGCCATTTCTCCAGCCCCAGGCCAGTAGATTTTAATATAAGAGGCTACAAAAGGTTTACACTATGTTTTAAATTTCCATGATATAGCTAACTTTAAAAAATGAATGATATCAGACACAAGGGACTTTGTCTCAGTGAATGAAGCATTGAAAACTGAGTGTGATCTCTCCAGTGAAGGCTTTTTTGTTTGTTTCATTTGGGCTTTTTTGAGACAGGGCCTTCCTATGTAGCCAAAGCTGGTCACAAACTCATGATGCATCCCAAGCTGCCTGGGATATTACAGCAGTCTTCCTGCCTTAGCTTCCCAAGTGCTGGGATTACAGGTCAAGATCCATAGCTTTCAGGAAAAGGTTTTAATTGGAAAGAAAGAAATTGAGGAAAAGGAAATAGCTTTGATTTGGGAAA